GTGTGGCTTGGTTCTGGAGACAAAGAGTAAAGGAATATTTGGACGATGGAAGGTTTCCTAAAGGGATTCCAGTAGGCTGTTGTCGGGAGAAGCATAAAGGAGCCACAACAGGGATAGTTGTTTGTGTGGTTAGGGGTCCAAATATGGGGGACGGGGGCGGAATTGACATAAGGAGAAAGGTGCCGTAAGTTGATGCAGAGAAGTGTGGCAGCTTTTTGGTGCGAAATCTCTGGGGAGTTCTCACCAAATCTGTCTAGAAAGTAAAGAAGTTCCTCAGGCGGGTAAAGATGAGGGCTATTAAAGGAGGTTCGGAGGTGCAGGGAGAGAGGAGAGGTAGCTCAGTCAGCCTGTAGAGTGGGGACAGCTGTGTAAGAGCAGGAAGAAAAGGAAACGCTTAGGTAACAATTCTTTGCTAGAGAAGGATTGGAGGCAGTGAGGAGAGAGTGGGTGAGATTGATACCATGCTGGAGGTAACTAGGGGGAGGTAGAGAGTGACTGGAGAATCGGGGCAAGGATAAGAGTGAGTAGCCAGGTGCGGTGGCTCACGCTTGTAATCCCAGCACTTTGGGAGGCTGAGGCGGGTGGATCACCTGAGGTCAGGAGTTCAAGACCCACCTGGCCAACATGGTGAAACCCTGTCTCTACTAAAAATACAAAAATAAGCCAGGCGTGCTGGCAGGCGCCTGTAATCCCAGCTACTTGGGAGGCTGAGGCAGGAGAATCGCTTAAACCCGGGAGGCAGAGGTTGCAGTGAGCCAAGATCATGCCACTGCACTCCAGCCTGTGGGACAAGAGTGAGATCTAATCTCAAAAAAAAAAATAGAAAAAAAAAAAAAAAAAAGGCCGGGCGCGGTGGCTCAAGCCTGTAATCCCAGCACTTTGGGAGGCCGAGACGGGCGGATCACGAGGTCAGGAGATCGAGACCATCCTGGCTAACACAGCGAAACCCCGTCTCTACTAAAAAATACAAAAACCTAGCCGGGCGAGGTGGCGGGCGCCTGTAGTCCCAGTTACTCGGGAGGCTGAGGCAGGAGAATGGCGTAAACCCGGGAGGCGGAGCTTGCAGTGAGCTGAGATCCGGCCACTGCACTCCAGCCTGGGCGACAGAGCCAGACTCTGTCTCAAAAAAAAAAAAAAAAAAAAAAAGAGTGAGTAGAAAAGTTAAAAAAAAAAAAAAAAAAAAAAAGGACTTCATCATGATAGAAGAATTGGAGTGTATCTTACCAATGAAGATCTTCTATTCACTCCAAGATAGAGTTAAGGGTGGCGATTTGAGGTAAAACCAGGAGATACCAGTTATGATGATTTGGAGGAAAATTGTAAACTGGCAGCAAACAAGGGCAGGGCATTTACGAGTAGTTGAGAATGGTGAATACGTGTATGATTAGACAGAAGACAGTAGGGATGACAAGTTTTTGGGGCTTAGTCCAAGTAGTGGGGGTAACTTTGTAAAGCCCTGTTGCAAAAGGTAGGGTAAGGAGGAATAGACCTAATAGAATGAAGGGATGTATTAGGCTCATAAGGGTTATTACTGTTCTACTGTGAGTGAGTTTAAGGGAAGTAGGGGCGAGTACTTGTGACTTTCAGGAGGAAGAGGAGAGATCAGGCTGGTTGGCTGACAGACACAGATTTATTCTGGAATGGTGAACCCAATGGGGAGGGTCCTGCAGGCGGACAGGAGTTGGGGTACTATAGATGACTAAGTAGGGTCCAGTCCATCAGGGTTATGGAGTTTGAGGGGTCAGATTCTTAACAAGAACTGATCATCCAGCTAGGGTGTCGTCATATGGCTGGGAATCTGGAGTAGGCAAGAGAAGATTAGCAGCCTGGCAAATTTCCTGTCTGGCCTGCTGGATGATTGGAAGATAGTCACCTAGAGGGTGGGTGTCTGGCATGAGGCAGCGGCCCAACAAGAAGGTACGTCTGTATAGTCAAATGGACTATACCCTGTAGCTTCTCGAGGACAGGCTCTAATTCTAAGGAGGGCAAAAGGTAAAAGTACTGTCCAGTCTTTTTTAAGTTGAAGGCTGAGCTTGGTGAGGTATGTTTTTAAAAGATCATTAGTTCTTTCTACCTTTCCCGAAGATTGAGGATGGTAGGGGCATGAAGGTTCCACTGGATGCCAAGGGCCTGGGAGACTGCTTGAGTAACCTGACTAATGAAGGCCAGTCCATTATCGGACTGTATAGAGGTGGGAAGGCCAAAGGGAGGAATTACATCTGACAGAAGGGAAGAAATGACCATGGTGGCCTTTTCAGATCTTGTGGGAAAGGCCTCTATGCATCCAGTGAATGTATCTACCCAGACCAAAAGGTATCTTAGTGTTTTGACTTGGGACATATGGGTAAAGTCAATCTGACAGTCTTGGGTGGGGCAAATCCTTGAACTTGATGTGTAGGAAAGGGTGGGGGCCTGAGGTATCCCGGAGGGGTGGTAGAGTAAGTGGACTGGTAGTGGAACAGGTGATGAGAGTTCAAGTTTATCCGAGGCTGCCGAGGGGCCTTCTTAGAGAGGCTTGACCTGCTCTGCTCGCCTCAGGTAGGTCTGCGAGACCACTTGAGCTGTCAGTCCTCGCGAAGGTCAGAGTCAATAATTGCAGCGCTCACCCATGGTGCTCCCTTCAAAAGCCTCCAAAAAGACCATTGTGCATTTTTTCTGTGAGGAAGAGAATTTCCTCCGCTTGAGCCACGTTAACTCGTCCGCCAGCATTGTCCCGCCTTACAGACCCTACGATTCCCACACATTCCGGTGAGCATTGGGTGAGGGATGGTTCAAAGGGGCATCTTGTTATGCGAACGAATGTTTCACCTGACAATGTTCCTTTGTTTATGCGTCATAAACGTACTTTTTACGCCTTATATTCTGTTATAAAGACACTTTTTTTTTTTTTTTTTGAGACGGTGTCTGGCTCTGTCGCCCAGGCTGGAGTGCAGTGGCCGGATCTCAGCTCACTGCAAGCTCTGCCTCCGGGATTCACACCATTCTCCTGCCTCAGCCTCCCGAGTAGCTGGGACTACAGGCGCCTGCCATGTCGCCTGGCTAGTTTTTTGTATTTTTTTTAGTAGAGACGGGGTTTCAACGTGTTAGCCAGGATAGTCTCGATCTCCTGACCTCGTGATCCGCCCATCTCGGCCTCCCAAAGTGCTGGGATTACAGGCTTGAGCCACCATGCCCGGCCTATAAAGACACTTTAATAGGTGTCTAGGGAGTGCTTATTTCTCTACGGAAATGTAAAATTACGTAGACCACAAACAGGTCTTTCTACTAAAGAAAAATAAGAATGCTAAGCTATTTTTGATCTGCAACTTCATAAGCCTGGACCTCCCCACAGACTTTAAAAACAGGGGCCGGCCAGGCGCGGTGGCTCACGCCTGTAATCCCAGAACTTAGGGAGACCTAAGTGGGCAAATCACCTGAGGTCAGGAGTTTGAGACAAGCCTGGCCAACATGGCAAAACCTCATCGCTACTAAAAATACAGAAAAATTAGCTGGACGTGGTGGTGCACGTCTGTAATCCCAGTTACTGGGGAGGCTGAGGCAGGAGAATCGCTTGAACTGAGGAGGAGAAAGTTACAGTGAGCCAAGATCGTGCCACTGCACTCCAGCCTGGGCGACAGAGCGAGACTCTGTCTCAAAAAAACAAAACAAACAAAAACACAACACACACAAAACCCCAGGCAAACAAACAAACCAGTGGCCCACCTGGGGATACGAGACCAACCCGGGCAACAATAGCGAGACCCCATCCTTACAAAAATAAAAATAAAAACCAGCTAGACGTGGTGGTGTATGCCAGCTGCTTGGAAGGCTGAGGCAGGAGGATCACTTGAGACAGAGAGTTCAAGACTAAAGTGAGCTATGATCGCACCATTGTACTCCAGCCTGGGCTACAGAGCAAGACCTCGCCTCTTAAACAAAAAGACAAAACAGGCACCTAGGAGGAAAGGATGGAGGCTTTGTTGCACTAGTATTAAGAATCAAATTTACCATTCGCCCTCTCCCTAGAAAACTAAAATACCTTTTATGGCAAACTATTTGAGAGTAAGTTGAAAATTGCAGGAAATTGATACTTGACTTTCAAGTAGTTGGTAATGCATTTTCTAAAGATAAAGGATACTGGTCTACTAAAACCACAATATTTGTATTTCAACCAAGAAAATTTTTAAAAAAAGTCATTTGGGCCGGGCACAGTGGCTCTCACCTGTAATCCCAGCACTTTGGAAGGCCGAGGCAGGTGGCTCACTTGAAGCCAGGAGTTCGAGACCAGCCTGGCCAACATGGCAAAATGCCATCTCTACTATAAAATAAATAAATAAATAAAACTGGCACCTGTAATCTCACCAGCTGAGAGGGCAGAATCACATGAACTCGGGAGGTGGAGCTTGCAGTGAGCTGAGATTGCGCCTCTGTATTCCAGCCTGGGTGGCAGAAGGAAACTGTGTTTCAAAAACAACAAAAAAAAAAGGCCAGGCGCGGTGGCTCAAGCCTGTAATCCCTGCACTTTGGGAGACCAAGACGGGCGGATCACGAGGTCAGGAGATCAAGACCATCCTGGTTAACACGGTGAAACCCCGTCTCTACTAAAAATACAAAAAATTAGCTGGGTGCAGTGGCGGGCGCCTGTAGTCCCAGCTACACAGGAGGCTGAGGCAGGAGAATGGTGTGAACCCGGGAGGCGGAGCTTGCAGTGAGCCAAGATTGCCCCACTGCACTCCAGCCTGGGCGACAGAGCAAGACTCCGTTTCTAAAACAAAAACAACAACAACAACAAAAATTCTAACTTGGTAGCCAGTGGGGACAAATACAGAATGTGATGTTCCGTTACAGCCAGTGGAAACCAGACACTGCAGCAAGGTGGACGACTCAGGTTATAAATGACCCTGTTTCCTTTGTTTAGTGTACTCTAGTGGCAAAACTGCTGGCGAGTGTACCTGTTCTGCCAAAAGTAAAATGGGCTTGCTGAGGAAATTAAGTTTATGTTCAAGTGCTATTTCTTTAAGGCACTGGGGAACAACCATTTCTAACAACCTGGTTCTACCTGGCTGAAACTGGATCCCGGAAGCTGCGCCCCTCCCGAGGCTCCTAGCGGAAGTGATGTCAGCGCGCTGCCACCATCTTTTCCCGCGCTGGCTAACTTTGGTCAGTGTTGTTTCGCGTTTATCCTGGTGGAGTCCACCCCTGCTGTGGTGAGTTCCGCCTGCTTGGGGGTCCAGGAGATAGAGGGGGTGTGGGTGGGGGATGCGGCAAAGGAAGGATTGGGCGCGGTCCCCCAGGAGCCTCTCGGATCCTGCTTGTTTCACTAGCTTCTCCAGGGGTTGTCGGTCCTCCCGCGCGGCCAGTTCCCTGAGGGCCCAGGCTCAGTGAGTCCACCTCAGGTGCCGCGTGGGGAAGTGTTTGTCGCTAGTCCGCGCGGTGTTTTCTGGGGTGCTTTCATTCGCTGTGCTCCCCTCTTCAAAAGCTTGGAAAGCAGCCTTTCTGAATGTTTTTCTTTCCGAAAGGAAAAGGATGTCTGCCATTCTAGTGAGGTTGGCTCTGGCCCCGCATCCTCCCGCGTCAGGCGTGTTCCTGGTGAGCACCAGCATTAAACTGGTTTCAAGAGGACTCTGACTTCCGTTTATTTGCTAAAAAATGTCTCATCTGAGAATCTGGCATTGTCTTGGTGTCCTTTACTTATTTTTGACACATTACATTTGGATGGAAAAAACATAGTTGTTGAAGGTGTGCCTATTTCTGTGTGTAAATATGAACACGTGTAGACTGTAAGCCTTTAGTTTTTTTATTTTTATTTTCTTGGACGTTATTTGTTTTCTAGTTGTTACCAGCTACAAGCCTTTCTACTTAAGAAAGGCAGGCCAGACGCGCTGGCTGACGCCTGTAATCCCAACACTTTGGGAAGCTGAGGCAGGTGGATCACCTGAGGTCAGGGGTTCGAGACCAGCCTCGCCAACATGGTGAAACAGGGTTTTACCATAGAGACGGTGTTTTGTCATGTTTGTCAGGCTGGTCTCGAACTCCTTACCGCAGGTGATCTGCCCGCCTGCAGCTTCAGTCATCTTAGGTACATAATGAAGTTAGTAATAACACACATGGCTGGTGGCTACTGAATTGTTCTGTGCAGGTCTCAACTGCCTTCTGGTCATATTGTGGGGAGTAACAGCATCCACAGGAGATCAGGCTCCAAGGACAAATATCAGACTAATTATTAGGGTTATTTGAATGTAGGATTTTTTCATTATTAAATAGAAGTAATGAGCCAGGCATGGTGGCTCATGCTTCTTATCCCAGCACTTTGGGAGGCCAAGGCAGGAGGATTGTTTGAGCCCAGGAGTTTGAGACCAGCCTGGGCAACCTGGTGAAACCTTGTCTCTACTAAAAATACAAAAAATTAGACCCAGTGGTGAAGGGGGCCAGCCCCTCCACACCTGTGGATATTTCTCATCCGGTGGGATGAGAGACTGAGAAAAGAAATAAGACACAGAGACAAAGTATAGAGAAAGAACAGTGGGCCCAGGGGACTGGCACTCAGCATACAGAGGACCCGCACTGGCGCTGGCCTGTGAGTTCCCTCAGTATTTATTGATTATTATTTTTACTATCTTAGCAAGAGGAGTGTAGCAGCGCAACAGGTGGGGAGAAGATCAGCAGGGAAACATGCGAGCAAAGGAATCTGTATCATGAATAAGTTCAAGGAAAGGTACTGTGCCTGGATGTGCACATAGGCTAGATTTATGTTTCTCTTTACCCAAACATCTCAGTGTAGCAAAGAGGAACAGAGCAGTATTACTGCCAGCATATCTCACCTCCAGCCAGAGGGCAGTTTTCTCCTATCTCAGAATAGAATGAATGGGAATGCTAAGCTCTACATCGAGACATTCCATTCCCAGGGAGGAGCAGGAGACAGAAGCCTTCCTCTTAACTGCAAAGAGGCCTCCCTCTTTCACTCCTCCTCAGCACAGACCCTTTATGGGTGTTGGGCTGGGGGATGGTAAAGTCTTTCTTTTCCCATGAGGCCGTATCTCAGGCTGTTTCAGTAGGGGGAAACCTTGGACAATACCCAGGCTTTTGTGGGCAGAGGTCCCTGTGGCTCTCCTCAGTACATTGTGCCCCTGTTTAATAGAGAATGGAGAATGGCGATTACTTTTACCAAGCATACTTACTGCAAACATATTGTTAACAAGGCACATCCTGCACAGCCCTAAATCCATTAAACTTTGATTCATTACAGCACATGTTTCTGTGAGCACAGGGTTGGGGCTAAAGTTACAGGTTAACAGCATCTCAAAGAACAAACAATTTTTCTTGGTACAGATCAAAATGGAGTTTCTTATGTCTTCCTTTTCTACATAGACACAGTAACAATCTGATCTCTCTTTCTTTTCCCAACACAGTGGTGTGCACCTGTATTCCCAGTCACTTTGGGGTCTGAAGTGGGAGAATCACTTGAGGCCAGGAGTTTGAGACCAACCTGGCTGATAGGGCGAAACCCCGTCTCTACTAAAAATACAAAAATTAGCCAGGCGTGATGCATACCTCTAATCCCAGCTACTCAGGAGGCTGAGCCCTGATAATCGCTTGAACCTGGGAGGCAGAGGTTACAATGAGTTGAGATTGTGCCATTGCACTCCAGCCTGGGTGACAGAGTGAGACTGTGTCTCATTAATAATAATATAATGATAATAAGGCATGGTGATGCACACCTGTGGTCCCACCTGTTCAGGAGACTGAGGTGGGAGGATCACTTGAGCCTGGGAGGTCTAGGCTACAGAGAGCTGTGTTAGTGCCGTTGCACTTCAACCTGGGCAACAGAGTGACACCCTGTCTCGGTAGATAGATAGATAGAGGTAATGATAGCTATTGGGAAGGATGGTTATGATAATTGAGCATGTATATATAAAGCTACTAGAGCCACTTGTGACACACTAGTCCTCAGTAAATGTCAGTTGCTGTTATTAATACTATCATTACTGAGTGATGATACTGAGTACAGTTTTTGGTTGCCTTCACATCTGTCACCTGCAGAGAGAAAGCTCGTGCATAATATTCAGTGACTGATGTTTGATGCTTGTTGTTTGATGATTGATATGAACAGGACCTCAAATAACCCATACAAAGAGGAATGGAGATTGCCTCTATTGACCTAGATTCGTAAGTTACCCTGAAGTGACTTACTTTTCCACTAGGGTTTTTTTCCAGGAACCAATCTGCCCTTTTGAAGAAAAGACAAAGGTAGTAGTCTTGTGTCAGCTAGACCCAGAAAAGCAGATGTGGGCCGAGCTGCCTGTTGGGTAAAGGGTAATAGTTTCATTTTACAAGGAAACTTACACCCTGAAAAATGTGACTCTCTCTCTGCCCATAGTAGTAACACTCACGAAGCTTATGTAGCATTTCCGAAGGCAAACGAACCAGGGCTGAATTCTAAAACAGCATCCTGGCTGGGCACAGTGGCTCATGCCTGGCATCAAGAAAGACAGCATTGAGGCACAGCTCACCATCAGCTTCAGAGCATGGCAGTCATTGATATGTCCCATGGTAAGTCCTTGTTGATGCTCTTTTTCAGAGATTCTGATTTAGGTCACACTCCACAACGTAAGAGTCCAGTGAGCTGGGCCTGAGCAGGCATGGCGCTGGTTTTTCTTTTGTTGTTTTTTCGAGACGGAGTTTCTTGTTGCCCAGGCTGGAGTGCAACGGCGCAATCTCAGCTCAACGCAACCTCTGCCTCCTGGGTTCAAGTGATTCTCCTGCCTCAGCCTCCCTAGTTGCTGAGATTACAGGCTAATTTTGTATTTTTATTAGAGACGCGTTTCTTAATGTTGGTCAGGCTAATCTTGAACTCCTGACCTCACATGATTTGCCCGTCTTGGCCTGCCAAAGTGTTGGGATTACAGGTGTGAGCCACCACACCTGGCCACTGGTGGTTCTTTTAGGAAGAATCGAAGTGAGATGTAGAATACTATTTTCTTTTATTTTATTCATTTATTTATCTTATTTTATTTATTTATTTATTGGAGACAGAATATTGCTCTGTCACACAGGTTGGAGTGCATTGATGCAGTATCAGCTCACTGCAACCTCTGCCTTTTGGGTTGAAGCAATTCTCTTGCCTCAGTCTCCCACGTAGATGGGACCACAAGCACGTGTCACCAGGTCTAGCTAATATTGTTTGTTTGTTTGTTAGTTAAATGGAGTCTCACTGTGTTACCCAGGCTGTAGTGCAGTGGCACGACTTCAACTCTCTGCAACCTCTGCTTCCCTGGTTCAAGCAATTCTCTACCTCAGCCTCCTGTAATTTTATTTTATTTTATTTTTTTATTTTTATTTTTTTAGTAGAGATGGGGTTTTGCCATGTTGGCCAGGCTGGTCTTGAATGCCTGACCTCAAGTGATTTGCCCACGTTGGCTTCCCAAAGTGTTGGGATTACAGGCATGAGCCACTGTGCCCAGCCAGGATGCTGTTTTAGAATTCAGCCCTGGTTCGTGTGCCTTCGGAAATGCTACATAAGCTTCGTGAGTGTTACTACTATGGACAGAGAGAGAGTCACATTTTTCAGGGTGTAAGTTTCCTTGTAAAATGAAACTATTACCCTTTACTCAACAGGCAGCTCGGCCCACATCTGCTGTTCTGGGTCTAGCTGACACAGGACTACTATGGCATTTCGTGGCAGTGTTGCGTGTGTGCAGTTTTCTCGAGTGTGCAGGAATATATGGAATTTCAAGCTAGGATGGAATGACTTCTAGGCATGAGAATGTGGTTAGGATGGGCAGCTCTGGCTTCTCATTGCCTTCTTACTTTTCCACTAAGGTGTTTTTCCAGGGAACCAATCTGCCCTTTTGAAGAAAAGACAAAGGTAGGAACGATGGTGGAGGACTACCTGGCAAATTCTTATCAGGTAAACAGACAATGTACCATTATACAAAATGACATACTTACATCCGATAGACACATTTCCTTCTAGACAGACTCATCTCCAGAGTTTTCTTAGAGCAAATGAAGCCTTACTCAAGGACTGAGTCCCCAGATGAATTTCCCCAGAGAATGAAGTCTCGTGTACATAAAGTGTTAACTTGAAAATCATCCCAGTGGCTTAGTAATTACTACTTAAGCTTGACCTTGATGGTGCCAGCTGCATCTTTTTTACATTGCTGGGTGTGGTGACAGATGATAAAGCAGATGGAAGTGTCCTTTTATCAAGTTACTCACTTATCAGCATTTATCAGATATATGCAGTGTGCTCAGGAGTGTGCTACATAGAGACCAATGGGACAGGAAGAGCTCCTAACCTGGTTGTGCTGAGATAAAGTGTAAGCAGTGTGCAATGGCTCATGCCTGCAATTCCAACTACTCAGGAGGCAGAGGTGGGAGGAGCACTTCAGCCCAGGAGATCGAAGCTGCAGTAAGCAGCAATTGTGCCTGCGTGACACAGTGGGACCCTGTCGTTATGTATAAATAAATAAACATATTGGATAGATAGATAGATAAAAATTCATGCTTAGGAAGTACTGTTCTCATCAAAATAGGAATTTAAAATTTAAGAATAAAAATATTTAAAAATTAAAGATAGATCAAACAAAAGATTTAAAAAAATTTTTTTAAAGTGCTGTTCAAGGCATATGCCTGTAGGAGGTCCACCTTGATTGTTTAGACACAAGAGTTCCTGAGACATTAAACCCTGGAGTATATCTTGGGAGATCTCAGAACCACATATAAGTGAGTATAAGGTTCCCTTTCATCATTCTCCAGTGAGCATTGGTGGAAGTGTTCATTGGCTCAAACCAGCATGTGTGTGATGACTTAGGATTCAGTGACGTTTGATGATGTGGCTGTGGAGTTCACCCCGGAGGAGTGGGCTTTACTGGACACAACTGAGAAATACCTCTACAGAGATGTGATGCTGGAGAACTACATGAACCTGGCCTCTGTAGGTAAGAGTAACATAATTTTGCTTGGCATGGTAGCCTGCACCTGTAGTCCCAGATACTTGGGAGGCTGAGGTCAGAGAAGTGCTTGAGCATGGGAGCTTGATATTGTCATGGACAATATTGTGAGACCTCGTCTGTAAAAAAAAAAAAAAAAAAAAAATTGTAAAAATAAAGACTAAGCCAGGCATGGTGGCTCACGCCTGTAATCCCAGCACTTTGGGAAGGCAAGGTGGGCAGATCATGAGGTCAAGAAATCAAGACCAGCCTGGCTAACACAGTGAATCCCCTTCTCTACTAAAAATGCAGAAAATTAGCTGGGTATGGTGGCACATCCCTGTAGTCCCAGCCGCTCGGGAGGCTGAGGCAGTAGAATCACTTGAACCTGAGAGGCAGAGGGTGCAGTGAGCCGAGATTGCATTACTGCACTCCAGCTTGTGCGACAGAGTGAGACTCCATCTCAAAAAAAAATAAAATACAATACAATAAAAATAAAAATAAAAAAAGATTTTTAAAGATCCACTTTACCTCAGAAGATTTAAGCTATTTTTCTCAGAATTTCAGATATCTCTGACTTTTATTTTCCATGTAGTCAAACATTCCTATGACCTAACAAAACTACCTGTTCTGTCTTTTTTTTTTAAGTTTATCATTTTGATACATATTCTTTATCCCGATATTTCCTACTTTCCCTTTCCTGATAATCTTATCTTCCTGTTCCCCATCGTTTTATTTTTCACAGAAGCAGTTTGTAGTAAACTATCTAAACACATCAGTTGTGTAATAAACCCCACGTCCTTATAGCCAAATTTTTGACATGCCAAAATCCTCAAAGTTCTCTGGCTTATCTCTTATTACTGTGTTTAATTTGAAAACAAATACAAATGACTCATTGTTTTAAACATTTCTTCTATAAACCCTTACATTTCTTTTTCTGCTTAACTTCAGAATGGAAAATACAACCTAGAATCAAAGGGTCATCACTTCAGCAGGGTTTTTTGAAGAATCCAATATTCAGTGGGATACAAATGGTAAGATTCATGAGTGATATTTCTTAGTTTCCTCTCAGAAAAGATTGAGAATTCCATTCTAGGAAATAGCATCGTCAGAGCTATGACTTACTTCTGTAATCCCAGCTACTTGGAAGGCTGAGCTGAGAGGATCATTTGAGCCCAGTAGTTCGAGACCAGCCTAGGCAGTATAACAAGATCCCATCTCTGATTTTAAAAAGAGGCTGGATGTTGTGGTTCCTGCCTGTAATCCCAATACTATGGGAGGTTGAGGTGTGTGGATCACTTGAGGTCAGGAGTTTAAGACCAGCCTGGTCAACATGGTGAAACTCCGTCTCTACTAAAAATGTAAAATCTACACTATTTGGTTGGGTACAGTGGCTGACGCCTGTAATCCCAACACTTTGGGAAGCTGAGGCAGGAGAATTGCTTGAGTCTAGGAGATCAAGACCAGCCTAGGCAACAGGGAGACCCTGTCTCTACAAAAAATAAAAAATTAGCGGGGTGCGTTGGCATGCAACTGTAGTCCAAGCTCCTTGGAGCACTGAGGCAGGATGATGGCTTGAGCCTGGGAGATTAAGACCGCAGTGGACTGTGATCGTGCCATGGTACCCAGCCTGGATGACAGAGTGAGAACCTGTCTCAAACCACCCCCGACAATTAAAAGAAGACAGTTTTTTTTGTTTTGTTTGTTTTTGTTTTTGTTTTTTAAATAATTAGAGCCAGTGGCATAAAATTCTAGCAAAAGATCCATCATTCAGTCTGGAAGAAATCAAGAAGGTAGGAAATGAAAAAAACATTAAATATTAAAAAGTAAAATGGTAATTGTCACCAAAATAATGTTTCCATGTTCAGATGGGTGAAATCTTTTAATGTGTCTGAAAACATTTTAAATCCTTTATCCCCTCCTCAGCAGACAAGAAACTACAGTGGATGGAAACTGTGAGAATTCTGGAGAGGTCTTCAGTGAACAGTTTTGCCTTAAGACACACATGAGAGCTCAGAGTGGAGGGAACACTTCTGAGGGTAATTGTTATGAAAAAGACGTCTTCAGTGTGCACAAGGAAGCCTCTATTGGACAGGAACTTTCCAAATTTAATCTGTGTGGAAAAGTCTTCACCCTAACTCCAGGTCTTGCTGTATATCTTGGAATTCTCAATGCAAGACAACCATACAAATGTAAGGAATGTAAAAAAGGCTTTAAGTATTTTGTGAGCCTTGATAATCACATGAGAATCCACATTGGAGAGAAACTGCGAATTTCAGGAATGTGGAGAGTCATCACACCTTCCTCACACCTAAAGCAGTTTGTAACAGTTCATACTGGAAAGAAATCTAAAAAGACTAAGAATTGTGGGAAACCCTTCACTAATTTTTCTCAACTTTCTGCACATGTGAAAACTCATAAAGGAGAGAAGCCCTTTGAATGAAAAGAATGTGGAAGATCGTTTAGAAATTCCTCATCCTTTAATGTTCACATTCAGATTCACACTGGAATAAAACCACACAAATGTATGGAATGTGGGAAAGCCTTCACTAGATCAACTCACCTTACTCAGCATATAAGAACTCACACTGGAATAAAACCCTATGAATGTACAGAATGTGGCCAAGCCTTTACTCAGTACACGGGCCTTGCTATACACATACAAAATCACACTGGGGAGAAACCCTATCAGTGTAAGGAATGTGGGAAAGCCTTCAATAGATCTTCAACGCTTACTCAACATAGAAGAATTCACACAGGAGAGAAGCCTTATGAATGTGTTGAATGTGGGAAGACCTTCGTTACTTCTTCTGATCGTAGTAAACATTTGAAAACTCACAGTGGAGAAAGGCCCTTTATATGCAAGATATGTGGTAAAGCATTTATGTATTCCTCACCCGTTAATGTTCACCTGCAAACTCATACCGGAGAGAAACCCTTCATGTGTAAAGAATGTGGGAAAGCATTTGCTGTTTCCTCACACTTAAGTAGACATGAGAGAATTCACACTGGGGAGAAACCCTATGAAAGTAAGGGTATAAGTGTTACCATTTAGCTCATAGGTTGCCATCTTTAATTATTGGCAGTGACACCAAAGATTATCAGATTTGTCGTAAATGCCTTGCAGAGGTTGTAATGGCTCACGGATTGGCTTTGGATGCCATCCTGAGGGTCTGAAATTAAACCTACAGGTTCTGATTACAATTTCATACAACAGATGCCTGAGTCTGGGCATCTATGAAGAAGGGTCATGGATGGTGAGGTCAGTACTGCAGGCTGCCTCACATTAGTGACTAGATTCCTAAGATCATAGCATTAACAAGTTCTGTATGAGATAAGTCGTCTAGATTGGTCCCAGCCCCTGTTAGTAAGATGCTCCTCCAAGGGTATCTTCTGTTCCCACGGATCCTGCAGAGCATGGCAGATATGAAACCATCCTTAACTGCCAGTGCACTTTCACAGTGATTATTTCTGTGTCTCCTTCTTATAAAATCTATGAAGTGTGACAGCCTTACCTGTTCTGTCTTCTCTGTCCATTTTAGGTGGCACAGTGTAAGTGGCAGTGTCTCTTCTAGTATAATCCAGTCTCTCTCCTCACTTCTGTTAAGATGGCTGATATAGTCCATGAATCTCACTGATGATCTCTTTATCAAATGATTGTTCAGCCACATATTCAGGATTCTCTTCAGTACAAGTTTTGTAATTTTTGCAGTATGGATAGGCTGAGAATTTTCCAAATCTCCAAGTTCTGGTTCTGTTTTCTTTTATATTTCTTCTGCAGTTCAGGTCTTCTCTTTTGCATTTTCCTGTAAGCAGTCAGGAAGAATGAAGCTTCCTGTGTCCTTTAACACTTTAATTACAGATGTTAGTGATAAATACCCAATTTTATCTCTCTCAAGCTCTACTTTCCACAAAATGCTAGAATTCAGTTCTGCCAAGTTCTTCACCACTTCATATGAAGGGTTGTCTTTTCTTCATTTTCCAATAGCATGTTCCTCATTCCCCAGTGACACCTTACCAGAATCACCCTTACTAATATTATTTCTAGCTTGCACATCAGAATTCTTATAGCCTCTACTCATTTGTCAATTTCAAAGCTGCTTCACATTTTTAGTTTTTTGTTTGTTTGTAATGGCAGTACCTCACTTTTCAGTGCCAAAATCTGCCTTAGTTAGCTCAGGCAACCATAACAGAATAACACAGACCAAATGGCTTACAAATTCTTTTAATTTTAAATAACTGAAGTTAAAAACACATTTTTTTTTTTTTTTTTTTTTTGAGACGGAGTTTGTATTTTTACTTAACCATGTATCTTGGAAATCACTTCATGTGAGTTCATAGAGATCTTCATTCATTTCTAGGGCTGCATGATATTCCATTGGTGGATGTGCCATATATTCAGATACTCTAATACTTGAGAGCATTTAGGCATTCATATTGCAATCACAAACAGTGCTGCAATTAATACTCTTGAACTTCTTTGAATTGTTAAAGGTTTACCTTCAAGGCAGATTCTTAGAAGTTTAGAGTGAATCCTGGACCTGGTTTAAAAAAAAAAAAATTCTTAAAAGTAGGATTGTGGCTGGGCACAGTGACTCATGCCTGTAATCCCAGTACTTGGGAGGCTGAGGCAGGTGGATTACTTGAGGTCAGGAGTTTGAGACCAGCATGGCCAACATGGTGAAACCCCGTCTCTACTAAAAATACAAAAAATTAGCAGGGCGTGGTGACACATGCCTGTATTCCCAGTTACTTGGGAGGCTGAGGCAAGAGAATCCCTTGAACCCGGGAAGCGGAGGTTGAGGTGAGCCAAGATCGTGCCATTGCACTCCAGCCTGGGCAACAAGAGCGAAACTCCATCTCAAAAAAAAAAGAAAAAAAAAAAAAAGCAGAATTGCAAGGCCAGGCATAGTGGCCCGTGCCTGTAACCCCAGCACTTTGAGCTCCTTAGTTTGAGAGCAGCCTGAGTAACAAGGTGAACTCATCTCTAAAAAATATGCAAAAATTAGCTGGGTGTTGTGGCTCATGCCTGTAGTCCCCAGCTACTCTGGAGGTTGAGGTGGGAGCATTGCTTGAACCTGACAGGTGGATGCTGCAGGTAGCCCAGATTGTGCCACTGCATATTCCAGCCTGGGGGACACAGCAAAACTTTGTCAAAAAAGAAAAAGGTCGGGCATGGTGGCTCACGCTTGTAATCCCAACACTTTGGGGTGGGAGGATTGCGTGAGCTCAGGAGTTTGAGACCAGGCTGGGCAACATGGCCAAACCATGTCTTTACTAAAAATTAAAAAAAATTAGGCCGGGCGTGGTGGCTCACGCCTGTAATCCCAGCACTTTGGGAGGCCGAGGCGGGTGGATCACGAGGTCAGGAGATCGAGACCATCCTGGCTAACACGGTGAAGCCCCATCTCTACTAAAAGCATGAAAAATTAGCGGGGCGAGGTGGTGGGCGCCTGTAGTCCCAGCTACTCTGGAGGGTGAGGCAGGAGAATGGCGTGAACCCGGGAGGCGGAGCTTGCAGTGAGCCAAGATCGTGCCACTGCACTCCAGCCTGGGCGACAAAGCGAGACTCCGTCTAAAAAAAAAAAAAAAAAGAAAAAACGGGTGTGGTGGTGTGCTCCTGTAGTCCCAGTTACTAGGGAAACAGGCACAAGAGTCGCTTGAACCCAGGAAGTGGAGGTTGCAGTGAGTTGAGATCATGCCATTGCACACCAGCCTGGGCAACAGAGGGAGACTGTCTCAAAATTTTTAAAAAAAGAAGTTTCCAGATTGCACAGGTAGTGTTTTCAGGTATTGCCAATTTCTCTGTAGTATACAGCCTCCAAATTGTCCCCCAATAATTCCTGTTTCTCAATACTCATACCTTTGTGTAGTGTTCATAGAGATCTCACATTGTACTAGGCTTCATCTCTGTGCCTAGCAGAATGTGGCAAAAGTCATATTAAGTCACTGCGGAAGTTTAGATTACAAAAGACCACACACATATGGAATCTCACTGGAGTCCATACAGTGAAAGCAATCTTGAAAAAGAAGTTTGTTGGGTAGGGCAAGGTGGCTCACGCCTGTAATGGCAGCACTCTGTGAAGCCAAGGCAGGTGGATCATTTGAGGTCAGGAGTTTGAGACCAGCTTGGCCAATATGGCGAAACCCCATCTCTACTAAAAATACAAAAATTAGCCGGGCACAGTGGCAGACTTCTGTAATCCCAGCTACTCGGCAGGCTGAGGCAGGAGAATCATTTGAACCTGGGAGGTGGAGGTTGTGGTGGTGAGCCGAGATCATGCCATTGCCCTCTGGTCTGGGCAACAGCGAGAGTCTCAAAAAAAAAAAAGAAAAAGAAAAAAAAAAGATTGTTGGAGAATTCACACTTTGTGATGTCAAAAGTTACTAGCCTATAATCCCAACAATTCGGGAGGCTGACTCAGGAAAACTGCTTGAGTCCAGGAGTTTGAGACCAGCTTGGGCAACTTAAGGAGACTTCATCTCTACAAAAAATAAAAATAAAAAATAGCTCGGCATGGTGGTGCATACCTGTAGTCCCAGCTACTCAGCAGCTGAGGTAGGAGGGATCCCTTGAGCCCAGGAAGTTGACCCTGCAGTGAGCTGTGATCGCACCATTGCACTCCAACCTGGGCAACAGAGTGAGACCCTGTCTCAAGAAAAAAGCAGAAAAAATAGTATTACAAAGCTATAGTAATCAAAACAATGTGGTATAGGCATAACTAGACATAGAGACCATTGTTATAGCATAGAGAGCCCAGAAATAAACCCTCACAGATATAATCAAATGGCTTTTCACAGTGATGCCAACAACCTTCAATGGAGAAAGGGCAGTTTTAATTTTCTTGCTGGGCTACATTCCCAGGAGGTTAGGCATTCTTAGTCACAGGAAGAGATAGGAGGTTGGCACAAGATACAGGTCATAAAGACCTTGCTGGTAAAACAGGATGCGGTAAAGAACCTGGTCAAGTTCCATCAAATCCAAGATGTTGACAAATGTGACCTCTGGTCATCCTCACTGCTAATTATAGGTTAATTATAATGCACTAGCATGCTAAAAGACAGTCCCATCAACTCCATGACTTTGTACAAATGTCACAGCAATGTTTGGAAGTTTACCTAGATAGTCTAAAAGGGAAGGATACTAGATTCCAGAAAATCTCTGCCCCTTTCCTGAAAAACTTCTGGACACCCCACCCCTTATTTAGCATATAATCAATAAATAACCATAGGTATACTCAATGGAGCAGCGCATAGGAAAGGAGACCAGACTCCTTTCCGTTAACAATACCATCATGGGTCGGGCACGGTGGCTCAAGCCTGTAATCCCAGCACTTTGGGAGGCTGAGGCGGGCGGATAACCTGAAGTCAGGAGTTCGAGACCAGCCTGGGCAACATTGGTGAAACCCCCGAATAAAAATTAAATTAAAAAAAAAAAAAAAAAACCAATACCATCATGATCCAGTAATCCCACTACTGAGTATATTTCCAAAGGAAATGACGTCAATATCTTGAAGAGATATCTGCAATCCCACGTTCATTGCAAACTTCTTAGAATATAATAGACAAGATATGGAAATAACCTAAATATTCCTGGACATTTAGGAATGAAGAAAATGTGATATATACACGTGAATATTATTTAGCCTAAAAAAAAGAAGGAAATCTTGTATAATCTCACATATATGTGGGCTCTAACATAACCACAAAGCCCTTGACTCATAGAAGCAAAGAAGAGAATGTTGGCCAGGGGCGGTGGCTCACGCCTGCAATCCCAGCACTTTGGGAGGCTGACGTGGGTGGATCACGAGGTCAGGAGTTTGAGAACAGCCTGGCCA